CCTTCCTTCCTTCCTTCCTTCCTTCCTTCCTTCCTTCCTTCCTTCCTTCCTTCCTTCCTTCCTTCCTTCCTTCCTGATTTGTTGTAGAGATAGTTTTGTAGGATTTCTGTATTAGAGTTTTCACATTTTTCTGGCCTCAAAATGGAGGAAAATGGCTGCCAAATTTCAACTTTGGAGAAGCTGAAGAAAATTGGGTGTTGGAGAAGACCCCATCAGTGGCCATAATGTCCCTTGGGCATGCTCTATAGTGGTGTATTGTCAGGTCCCCCGCCCTGAGTAAAGTTTCAGTGCTCTCATTTCTTTATTTTTGACTGGGCTTGGAATGGACAAGCCTCCAGATAAAGGCTTATCCCTGATTTGTCCAAATTGTTCTGAATTGAACTGAATTACCTGCTGCCTGGAACTGTGGGTTCTCCATCACTGGAAGTTTTCAAGCAAAGGATGGTTTGAGGATTCCTGCCTCGGGCAGAGGGTTGGATTAGAAAACCTCCAAGGTTCCTCCAATGCCATGATTCCATGATTCTAAGAAGTTCTGCAGTGAATTAGCAATCATGAAATAGGTGTCTTTAATTCCTGAGCTGATACCTGCTTTTTTTTTCTGTCCCCCCCCCCCAAAAAAAATAGCAGCAGTATTTTAAAGTGATGGGTAAGATATGGGTGTCTGGCAAGTTTCCTCCATGGTTTCCATCAGCCTTGGCCTGGGGAGAGCATGAATGAAAACAATTCAGCTGTCCATGAGGCAGCCTAGCCTTCCCCACCCCAAGGGTGAGACCACACTGTGACTGGCTGGAGATGATAAAATTGTGCTCCTCCTTTGACTCCCAGAGGAAAACCAAGCCACCACAAAGACATGATAATCTTTTCAGAGGGATAATTTTGGCCTCTTGTTCAAAAACACTTCTCTCTTGCACGAATGGAATGAATGATGGTAAAAGCCATTGCAAAACACCCAAACAAGGAGTAAATATGAAGTCTTGTCTCCTGAATGTATTGGTGGAATTAATCATCCTGAGGGAAGGACAAGGTAACAAACCCTTCGGGATACATCTTAGAGCTGGGAGATGAAGAAGTGGGATGACTGGATGGCAGACGAGAGGTTTGGCTTTATTTTCAGCAAGCCTTCTTTCGCTTAGGACAACTTTTCTTTGTGTGTGTTTAGGATTTCTGTAAGTGACAGATTAGCCTATTTGCTCAAGTGCTGGAGAGTCAGGTGCCTCAAAAAAGAGCGAGAATTATAACTAAAGGCACCTCCTTAACTCAGCATCCTCTCCACAAGACAAATTACAATCCCCATTATCCTCAACTAATATGGGGATAATGGGAGTTGTGTTGCCCACTACATCTGGACACCATGAGGTTGGGCAAAACTGCTTGAAAGCAGAATCAAGACAACGGTTCACTGTGAGTGGGATTCTTAAAGGTAGGACAGGAAGTAGCATTTGTCTAAGAGGCTGTTAACTTCTACTTCTGTTCTCCATCAGCCATGACGGTGGAAAGGCTTGTTCATGAATCTGGAGAGGAGGCCCCCCTTTCCTGTGAAGCTGTGGGCTATCAAACACATTGGTTCTGGATCCCTCTGGATCCCAAATGTGCAGACATCAGCACAGAGAGAGTGGAAATAAACTGGAATCCTACCAGGAATGAAGTAATTCCTCTTCGGTTCAATCAACGCCTGAGATATCAGACTCCACAATCACTACTTCTTAAGAACCTCATCATGAGTGATTCAGGGACCTACATCTGTCGCTTATCCAATGGTTCAGAAACTCACACCATTCTGCATGTAACTACAGGTATGTATGCATGCATTCAAAATATAATTTTTCCATAGTAGTCAATATATCATCTTTCAGGCATGTACCCTTATCATCCCATTCCCTGTAGTAAGAAGGTCAGATTTAACTGAAAAGATACTTAAACAAGTTTGGTGGTGCTCCCTGCCAAAACAGTATCCTATCTAAGGAGGAAAAAAAGAAAAAGATCTAGTCTTGCTTGGGGTGTTAATTTTTGACATTAACTAGCACACTGGGGGAGCACTTGGAACAAATGTCTCAAAGTGGTTCAATTTCTGGGTAAAGACTGTGTACTCCACAATGAAGTTTGCTGAAAGCTATCGTGGGTTAAGATATCTAGAATCATAGAGGCATAGAATCATAGGTTTCATAGAATCATAGAATCATAGGGTTGGAACCCCCACCCCCAAGGTTTGGCAACAGTGGTCTTCCAGTCCAGCTCTCTCTCTAGGACAAGAAACTTTGTCCATCCCAGACAAACAGCTGTTCAACCTTGAAAACCTCCAGTAATTGAGCACCTACATCTAACATACTTAATTCTCAGGGTCAAACTACTTATTACATGTAATGTTTAGAGTGTAACCACATCTTTGGTGCTTCTCTAATTATTAACGTATCAGGAAGCAGAGAGAAAATTAATCCCTTCTCTCCTGAGCTGTGATCCAGACCAAAAAACCCTATGTGTGGCTAAGAGGCTTACAAAAGTTTCCACTGGAGCCAATGGGAACTTTAAAAAACACGTACAGCTGGTTAAGATATTTTTATACAGTTCATGGCTGCAGGGAAGACTTTCCAGCACAGTGATCCTGGTAAAATTAAGACATTCTGCTCCCATAGACCTGGAATCAATGAAAGAAGAGCTAAAGATATACAGTAGCTGCGTGGACTCATTTAATGTCACGGGCAATGTGTTTTCTAGAGTTTGTCTCCAAACTCTGGAACTCCCTGTTTTTGGAGGGTTTGAGGATGACTAAAGCTTTTCAAGGTAGAAAATCCTATGTATGTAACATAGGTGAATGGGGAGGTGTCAAGAGAATTAGATTGGTGCAAATGTGAGAGGAAATAGGCCGGATAGTTGAACTGACAGATGCATGTGGCAAGCGATCAGTCTTGTTATGAAGGAAGGCAACCTCACACTTGCCTGCAGAAGGTCCCAGAAATATTTTCTTTCATCACCAATTTAAAACCCACTGGCAGCAGTGGCTCATGCCATCACATTTCATGAATGGACTACTGTAACCCACTCTACATGGTGTTGCCTTTGAAGATGACTCAGGAGCCTCATCTGGTCCAAAATCTAGTGGGATAACTGAAGAAGCAGATTATCAAAGTTGTATCTATGATTGATTGATTGATTGATTGACTATGTGCCATCAAGTCGTTTTCAACTCCTAGCGACCACATACAGAAGATTTTTTTCCCATGATAATTGCACCTATGATACTGAATTGGCTGCTTCTGGGCCCAAATCTATGCACTGGCAATTACCCTTAGTCCTACATAGTTTAGTGCCTACTTATTTAGAATATTATCCTTCTGGCCAACACTGGCCTGCCTCATAGAATAGTCCCTGATGGGAGATAGGCTGAGGATTCCGCCCCACATGAAATGAAGGGGATAGGAACCTGACAACACACCAGCACAGTGACTATCCACATTCTTAGAAGCATCTTGCCTCGTAAGATAAGGAGGGTTTACAACTTTAAGGTGGCCCTTAAGCCCCAGCACAACCCAAAAGTGTTCCCTAGCCTGCCTAAGTTTGCCTGTCCCTAGGTCATGGGAGGCCACACCCCTATATGTGCTACACACACCCCTGCCCTAGGCCAAAATCAAGGGGAGGTTCTGTAGCTGAGCACTGCATCCTTCTCCTTCTCCCTCTCCTTCTCCTTCTCCTTCTCCTTCTCCTTGGAAGAGGAGGATTTGGGGTTTACTTTTGTTTTGCGGTTTGGTCTCCAAAGCTGCAGGGAGGATGGAAGTGATATGGTGACATCACCAGAGGAAGATGATTTGGAAGTTGGAGCTATTTTTAAGAGAGGAGTCTTCTTCTATTTTTAGTAAAATAGATTAAATATATCAGAGTCTTAACATACATGTTTTAGCTGTTTGGAAGGGAAGGGAAGGGAAGGGAAGGGAAGGGAAGGGAAGG